GAGCAGACGGACCTAATTTCTGCTTTGCATAAAAAAGTCAAAACCACACATGAGCACTACGAATGAACAGAGGAAAGAAGGAGGAGAGGAGGAAACAGCGCCAAGCATCAGATCTCCTTAAAGCCTTACAGCTGAAGCCTCCATCTCAGAGGAGATCACATTTCAACAAGATTGAGTTTAAGTGATGGAGACAGAAGCTGCATGAAAGGGAGGGAGGGAAAGAGTTTCTTACTCTAGTAATAGTAGTGCAGGAAAAATGGCACAATATAATTTACAGAGAGCCAAAAGCTACTAGACTAAACTTTAGTGTTGAGCCTTGCTCATATGAACCAATACGAAAGTGGAGATCAAAAAGGTTTTTTTAACTGAAGCATGGTTAAATGATCTACCTAGATAAAATGGAATTCGCTTTACTTCCCATTTGCCTTCTGAGGGTACGTGCATCCAATTTTTACCTTTTCATATAGTCAGTAAAGTACTTATTCAGTAGACTTTTGGGCTGATGGAATACCCGACTCGGCCTAAATCAAGGTTGTTGCTCAGAGAATGCTTGCTTGCTCAGGGAACTTCTGAGGAGCTCTGGATGGGACAGGGTTAAAGTCTCCTCCCTGGGGCTGTGCTTGCTACCGCTAAAATTAAGCCTCCCCCACAGCTGGTTCCCATTAGCCTGCAGTGACACTAGGAGCCTATACTTAAGCTGTGCTGCGGGTGCTCCGCCACCCCACTCAGATAATACTATTGTCCCCTGCCACAGGCCAAGTTTAAACTAGCCCTGCACAGCTTCTGCTGGCAACGACTGTTTTCAAACCAGGAGGAAAGAAGAGGAGAGAAAGGTGAGAGTTATATAGGGAGAACATTATGGAAAAGAGCCTGACTCTGGTGAGAGGTGGAAAACATTGAGCCTGTCATCACGTTTGAGTTGATCAGGGGAGAAAAACATTTACATGATAATGTGAAAGCCATAAGGACCAAACTATATGAAAAAAAAAATAATTAGAGAAGCACAATAAATATTGGTATCATAGCAGCTATCAATATTAGAGTTTTATATTAGAATATTTAGTGTTTAATTTTTCATTTATTTATGCAGCTTTGCTTTATCAGCCAGAATCAGATAAAAATGCAGAGCGATTAACTAAATCCCAAATACAGAGTTCATAAACTTTAATGTTGCCTCGTAGCACATTTCAAAGTTATTATAATGATTTTTTTCTTTTTATCAGGCATATCATCAGACGGCTGCTTGTGAAGCCACATAATTAAGGTGCTCTTGCCTAGCTGTGTTTCACATATTCTTTACAACTCTACATTTATCTCTAAATTGCTTTTACAGTTTGGGAGTCTGGCAGCAAAACACAGCGTGCACGTTGGGAGTAACAAATGAGACGTTGATGACTGATTTACAGCGTGAGAAATAAACCAATCGGCGGTCTTGTAAGGACACCTCAGCCAATAGGCAGACAGCAATCGCACATTCCTGATGACAGGTAGCACATATCTCACATGGTTTTGCATGTTGGGATCAACTGCAAGTCTGAGCGCTTTCCAGTTAGGGTAATATTGTAGCCGTAGTCTATTAAAGCCATAGCTCTTAAGAGGGATCTGTTTGTGGAAAAGGTTAACAATCAGTTTAATTAGGAGCAGAGGCTGGGGCGCACGCATGAACTCTCCTGGTCTGACACTCACCGCTCTAGAGGGAATTCACCATGTCAGACGTTCACCGTTTGAGTGTGTGTGAGTATAGAGGAGAAAAAGAGACAGAGAATTAAAGGATGAAAGGAAAACAGAGGGCATGTAAGTGAGGAGGAGGAACAAAGTAAGAAAGGAAGGGGGGACAGACCTTATCAGCAAAGTTTGTCCATTTTCTTCCAAAAAAAAGAGAAAGGAAACTCCAACTCTGAAATGTGTTAGATAAATATAAATCTGTCAAGAGCACTTGTTAAGGTCATTGTATTTTCATGCTTTTTTTCAAAAACTTCTAAAACAGGTGACGCATATCTTATTTAAAACAATGACTAGGATGCACAAGACACAAGTCCAGATGAGGATATAAATTACACTTATTTCAACAACTATAAGTGGCATTGTGTTAACTTAAAGACAATTTCTACCTGATCAATCATTTAAAAATACTTTCAATGATGTAACCAAATAAAGGTCAGTAATTTCCTTTAAAATAATAATAATAATAGTGGTGGAATCACATGCTAATACTATGGTACTTCAAAATATATCATGGTACTAAAATGCATGTACAATGGCATTTACATTGTACTCCAGGGTACTTTTTAAGAATACTACAGAATATGCAAAAAAATAAATAATAATAAATGCTATGCAAATAATAATAACACTATGGAAGTAATACCACAGTACTTTTTTGTAAGTAGTAACATGCACTGAACAAAATTACCTAAAATGTGCTTCAATGTGGTAACATCTAAATTGATTGATTTTATTCAAACATAAAATATATAAAAAAATACTATCTAACATCACAGAATCAACCTAAATACAATAGGTTAATTTTTAAAAGTTCAATTTCCAGTGCACTCTGAGCTTACATGAACATGAAGAATTGTATTTTTATTCAACATTAACAAAGATTAATAAATGCTGTAAAAATTGTTAGTTGATGTTAGCTAAAGCATTAACTAATGTTAACGAATGGGACCTTATTGTAAAGTGCTATCTTAATATTTAAAAGAACTTTAACATACCATGTAAATGATATTATAGGCTATGAACAGGATAATCGCCATCAGATACCATCAAAGTACCACGGTACCAACAAAGTACTTTAAAGGAAACTAAATGTCCAATGCATTAAAATGACCCATCTTGCAAGCCTTGCATCTCAAGCATAGTAAGTAAATGTTGCAAATGCAGAGAAGTTGCTTTCAAAAGGATGTAAATAGTACAAAACAAGTAGTCGCTACAATTCAACATCACCCAATGCAGTGGTATGAGTGTGTGAGTAGGGTAGGATCTGGATAAGTGTAGGGGTATGCATCGCGTGGGCTGTATTTTGAAGGCAGACGGTGTGAGGCTCATTAAAGCTGCATGGATCTGAGTTCTGGCAGAGGTGACAGACAGGTGGATAGGATTACCAGTGAGCCTGGGCTCAGAAACACGCATGCTCAGCCGCCCGTCAGCACGGGGATCGACGCACACACCCTTCACGTCTTTTTAAATAATTAACAGCCAAAGATTTGTCCGTCAGCCTCAGGGCCAAAAGGTTCATTGATTTCTCACAGATGCATTTTTAATGAGCGCATCTTAGTGAGGCAGTGTCCGTGAAGAGAGGCTTCCTTGTCCGCAACAGCATAAGAAACACCAGCAGCTTTGCAAGAGGCTTGTGGTAAAAACACAAACAAAGCCAGTAAGTGCCTCTCTAATGTCTCGCACTAACGTTCTTCTACACAAAGGCTTGAAGGGAAAGGTCTCAGGGGTGACCTTAAAAGAACCTATGGCAAAATGCTATTTAATCCAGCCCAAGCGTTTCCTTTAATTGGTCTTGTGCGACCATCCATAAAGCTGTTATGCCGGTGGCATATTTCCTAATCAGCCTTTATGAACTGTAAACATCTCGGCACCAGAGTCTTTAAAGTGTTAGATGGCTTGAATTAGAATTGAATCACATTTGGTAGTTGTGACAGACACACTAAGAAAGTGATCGCCGCATCTGCGGACAAGTGCGGCTGACAGAGTGCATGACGGTCTCAATTACGTATTTCCCTTTCTTTACATTGTAAAGTATCACAAGAGATACAACAAGAAAGAAAACCTGATTTACACTCTTAAAAATAAAGGTTCTTCACTGGCATGTATGGTTCCTTTTTATAAGAACCTTTAACATCCATGGAAGCTTTCCACTGCACAAAAGGTTCCTTACAGTGGAAAAAAGTTCTTTAGATGATTAAGATTAAATGTTCTTCACACTAAGAAAAAAAAAGGAACCCAAATGGTTCACCTTTGGAATCACTATGAAAACCCCCTTTTAGAACCTTTAAGTGTGTACTATACGTTGAACATGATTAAATGAGCTCAAAGGTAGCTCACCCAAAGATGAAAATTGTGTTATCTTTTACTCGCACTCAAGTCTCTTTTTTTTTTTTTGACCCCAATTGACATTTATTGCATTGACATTTTTCAAAATATCTTCTTATGTGTTTCACAGAAGAACGCAAGTATAGGCTTAGACCAAAATGAGGGTTAATAAAGACAATCAAAGAATTTCAGACAAAATGTTCCAAATGAACACGCTTTTTAAAAGTGACCTTACAAAGCTGACATGGGGAGAAGTTATGGTTATAGGCCTCTGACATGCATGGACAGCTTTGACTAGAATAACAGAAATAAATAGTTTAATAGTGGTTTTAAAATGGAACAAAGACGGTGCAGTGCAGTATGGTTTTATTTTACATTCTTATGGGTTTAGGGAGGCTATGCATTCCTTAAATCTACAGAAACAAGAGGGAGTTGTTGAAAGACCAATTCAAAAATGTAAAACCGATGAGCGTGTCTGAAATAATACTGCTACAGAAATAAAATTGAAAGTTTAAACATCAAATGGAAACCTGTGCCATGTTTCATTCAAGAGAGAAGTTTTTCTTGCTGTCTGCAGTGTAATATTTCAAGGGTTAATTTTTCCTTGAGATGTGTGAGAGAGAAACATATCATTATGGAAAATCAAGGCTTTTGCCCATCTAAACCATGGATACGTCTGGTTTGAGAAAGCGACACACTTCCTCTACTGTGCGTAAAAGAAGGAAAAGACGAAAGAGAAACAGAAATTACTTCTTCAATCATTCCTCAGATTTCATAAATCATGCATGTGACTTTTTTTGAAACTGACTAAAAGTTTTCATGAAAGTCTTGCATGTTACTATTAGCATACACTTGTATGAAAGTGTGCATATATGTTTATGACCTGATTTTAAAAAAAGGGGAGCAATTGAGAGCTTAAATGAGGGGCAGGAATGTTGTGTCAGGACTACCTTTCCCGTCTCCCGCTCGAAGTCCACATATTCTCGGCTGGGCGCCTGCCGCTGATCCCCATGAAGGTTGGCTGGGAAGAACTGCAGCGAGAGGTTGGTGCCGGTCGCCACAAAAGCCTTTTAGAGGGAAATCAATACAAACAGGATAAGAAAGCCAGGCCCGAGCATAAATTATGCAGCCCGTCATTTCTGTTTTCACATCAGAGGGAAGAGGAGAATGCCTGGAGCCAAGGCCAGCGCTCAAATCATCAGGAAAAGAAGGGAGGAGGGGATGTGGGGAGGTTGGGTGGTGCACAAACGCAAAGAGAGAAAAAAAACCCCAAGTCATCATTTTCTCTATTTCAGGTATTGAGTTACATACATCTGATTCTATTTTACCAACGCTCATTGCTGGCAAACTGGGCTGCACCAAACTGAGTTTGAGAGGAGACAGAACGCAGGAGTGAATGAGTGACAGAGAGATAACAGAGACAGAGAGGAGTACAAAATGAATAATTGTTTTAAATGCAGCCCCTCACTTACATTAATAGCAGTTGGACTGCTGTAAAGGTTTTGAATTATGGTACAATAATTCAATAACGTTCTCAAAGAGCATGAGCAACAAAAAATAAATAAATACATAATTTTATACCAAACTGGCTTGCAGAATTCTGTTGCATTTTAATTTTATATGTACAAATATATATTAAAATTAATCATCTGATTCTTTTTCACTTATATGCTCAAACATACATAAACAGTAATATTGTAAATTATATTAATATTCAGCATCATAGCAATGGGCATACAAAAGGCATAATGACATGACGAAAATTACTCTCTGTAGCTTTGAAACAGACCTGTTTGCCTGTGAACCTCAACATTTAATCTACTTTTGACTTTAGGGGCAAATAAGGCCAAATCTGACCACATCTTACTGATTAAAGAACTTAAGTGCACACAGTCGCAAAACATGTAGGAATTATACAAACAAAACGAACTCATTTTTTTATTTATTTGCATTTTATATTAGAAATGCTCTAGTAATGTTTTCCATTAAGTTACTGGTCAGTAAACGATCACTATCAGCTGTAAGGCCTGTAAATTGATATTTATGATGAAATTCTGCCAGAAAAAAATCAAATTAAATAAAAAAGTGACATCAAACAGAAATAGTGGAATCTATTTTATCTATCTAGTCTATAATGTTATTATGAACAGAATAAATATAATCTGAATTAAAGTTAATAAGAATAAACAGTTGTCTCATCTATTCTTAGGAATATTATGGGTAGCAAAATCTATCTCGAAACAGCCCTGAAGACATGAGATACAAACAAAGAGATAAACAAGCCTCCCCATGTTAGCAAACCAGTCAAAGAAAAGGGTATGACACAAGTGAATCTAATGCAAATCTGTTTTTGATTGGGGTTTTTTCAATTATCAATAAAAATGCGAAATTTTAAAAATAGGCGAAAAAATTAAAAATAAAACAGGCGAGGGAATCTATGATAACATGCAGTCCCAGGGTATTTTTAAAGAGACTGTAAATTAGACACGTCCGAGTTCATCTGCAGTGTTGGGGGTAACGCATTACAAGTAACGTGAGTTACATAATCAGATTACTTTTTTCAAGTAACTAGTAAAGTAACGCATTACTTTTTAATTTACAAGAAAATATCTGAGTTCTTTTTCAAATAAGTAATGCCAGTTACTTTTTTTTCCCATTTATTGATTGAAAGCTCTCCTGTCCCCTTGTTGAGAGAAATCGGGAGTAAGATGTTACTTTAGTTCTAGAATAAATGTGAATATGCTTTAATTCATCTCACTCACAAAAAATAAAATAAAAAAATCACATTTGGTTTTCCTCAAAATTAATAAAAACAGTTAAAAGCAACTCAGAATATGACGCAAAGCTACAATAATTAAATATGTTAAATAATACAAATATCCTTTATGTATTTAATCCCATTTTATTAACCAATTTGCTGCTGACCTTCGATGATCCAATTCAACCATACTAATAAGCCAAAATTACTCAAGATAAACTAACATTTCTTCTTCTTTTTCATTGCTGAAGAGTTGAACTTTCTTCTTCTGCGTTCTACTGTACAGACGTGAATTTACATTTCCTTCAGCCTGAGGCTTTTGGTGTGAAAGGGCTTTTACATTTGCCAAAAATAGAACTTTTTATATTAAAAGCAAACAAGCAAGTCCAGCCCAGATTTGAAAAGTAACCCAAAAGTAACGTACCGCATTACTTTCAATAAAAAGTAACTATGTAACGTAATTCGATACTTTTTTAGGAAGTAACGCAATATTGTAATACATTACTTTTGAAAGTAACTTTCCCCAACACTGTTCATCTGCACCCGTGCGACGCGTTTCTGGTGATAATTAAAAGAAGCCAAGAGGCACTTTATGTTTAAGGATTGTTTAATTATTTGTAGTCCTAATGATACAGCGAATTAAATACCAACAAGTCAGTATAACACGATATGGATCATAAATGTTCTCTGCTGCAGTGTTTTTGGCGCTCATTACATATAAGGAAGTATATGAACAGTTTTTGGTGACGGCGTGACAGTTCCGGATGCCATGATCACGTTAATGTGTTTAAGTATTGAGTTGCCAGCACTGATGCGGGGTCAGCAGTCATTGACCGGTGCTGTGAGGTGCGTGTACTCACTATCTCTGAGCGGCCGTCACGGCACGCGTTCTGGAAGCGCGCCTGCCTCTCTTCGTGCGGCCGATCGCGGAAACCGGTGTATTTAATCTGTAAACAGGGATGAAAGAATCACAAGAGTCTGGTTATAAAAGAGCTTCATTAGAGTACACTGTAAAAATTTTCATTTCATTTTCATTATTATAACAACATCTTTATGTTCCTCTATTTAATTTGTCACAATAGCTATTTTCCGTCCATTATGCTCAGTTTTATGATATGTTTTGTTTAAATTTCAATGTTTTCTTTAGTTCATCCGTATTTGAATACAAAGTGGTCAGAAGAATGTAATGAACTTATTCTTACAGGTTTTGATTTTGATTTCCTTAAAAACAGTTAGCCTAATATTAGTATATGGCACGGGGTGAACTAATTTGTTGAGATTAAAGCCGAATAATTAACATATTTGCAAGCTATCGGAAAATATGTTGAAAATGCGCGTTTGAAATGCAAAATGTCTGATATTGTTTTAAATTCGGATAAAAAGCAAACAAACTTTAATTATTCTACTAGAGTTCAAAAGTGAGGTGCAAAGGTGCGTCTTTTAAGTCTGCTACATCTATATGTTTGTTGTTACATGCTTGCGATATATAAAAAGTAATTTTGTAACTGCCGTGAATGGAGGGTTGAAAACTTTTCTCAGCACAAAGCATTAGCGGTCGCTACACAGAGGCTGTTAAAGAAAGAGGCGATGACACGCTTGTTTTCATGTCACGAGAGAGGTGCAACTTTGTTTCCGCCACTTTATCAGATATCTCTCGGATGAATCGAGCTCACCTCGCACTCGCGACTGAGTTTCCTGAAGAACTCCTCGTTCTCGAACTTGCTCCTCTGATCCGGGACCACCCGAGGCATCTTGATCGCGATTTTCATTATTATAACATCTTTATGTTCCTCTATTTAATTTGTCACAATAGCTATTTTCCGTCCATTATGCTCAGGTTTATGATATGTTTTGTTTAAATTTCAATGTTTTCTTTAGTTCATCCGTATTTGAATACAAAGTGGTCAGAAGAATGTAATGAACTTATTCTTACAGGTTTTGATTTTGATTTCCTTAAAAACAGTTAGCCTAATATTAGTATATGGCACGGGGTGAACTAATTTGTTGAGATTAAAGCCGAATAATTAACATATTTGCAAGCTATCGGAAAATATGTTGAAAATGCGCGTTTGAAATGCAAAATGTCTGATATTGTTTTAAATTCGGATAAAAAGCAAACAAACTTTAATTATTCTACTAGAGTTCAAAAGTGAGGTGCAAAGGTGCGTCTTTTAAGTCTGCTACATCTATATGTTTGTTGTTACATGCTTGCGATATATAAAAAGTAATTTTGTAACTGCCGTGAATGGAGGGTTGAAAACTTTTCTCAGCACAAAGCATTAGCGGTCGCTACACAGAGGCTGTTAAAGAAAGAGGCGATGACACGCTTGTTTTCATGTCACGAGAGAGGTGCAACTTTGTTTCCGCCACTTTATCAGATATCTCTCGGATGAATCGAGCTCACCTCGCACTCGCGACTGAGTTTCCTGAAGAACTCCTCGTTCTCGAACTTGCTCCTCTGATCCGGGACCACCCGAGGCATCTTGATCGCGATTTGATCAATTGTGTTAATTGTATTTGTCTAAACTTGCAAAGAGAGTGAAGCGTTGTTTTGAAACACGCAAGTCCCGCTCTTATTTCCTTCCGCCTTTTTCTCTTCTTCTAATGATGGAGTATGTTGCAATGAGCTTTGTATTCTTTAAAATGTAAAACCTCCTTCGGATTTCGCCTCTTGGGGTCCGTGAGTTGTACTGCACTCGATTTGGCAGTAATTTGCACTTGGCTTGTTGTTCTTCCTCACTCTCGCGCGTGTGATCCCCGACTGCTGACAACAGACGCTCGCTCGAGCTACTTTATCCGTCTCATGAGCTGCATGGCTCACAGTTACTTCCTGGCTCCTCGGAGTCCGACTTATGACTGTACACCCCAATACTCCCCCATTCACAATTTTCTCCACTATGGACCGTGTGTGCGCAGGCGTTAAATACACCACAACTTCATTGCGCGAAATGCTTGGTATTAAAGTTGTTACCTGAGTTAGAGATTGTGTGTGGAATTTCTAAACGCATCATGTTAGCGATTTTCTTCGAAACAAAATGACGTGCTCTCATCAGAGATTATGTAGATAGACAGACAGACAGACAGACAGATTATACATGGGGAAAATATTTATTTGATCCTCTGCTGATTAAATTTGCCCACTTTCAAAGAAATGAAGGGTCTGTAATTTTTATGGTAGGTTTATTTTAATCGATAGAGACAGAATACCGACCAAAAAATTCAGAAAAAACACATTATATAAAAGTTAGAAATTGATTTGCATTTCAGTAAGTGAAATAAGTATTTTATCCCCTACCAACTAGCAAGAATTCTGGCTCCCACAGACTGGTTATGTGCCCATGTGGAACACAGATTAGTCCTGCCACTTTAAGAAGTTACTCCTAATGCCAGCTCGTTAGGTGTATAAGACATCTGTCCACACAATCTGTATCTTCCATTTCAACCTCTCCCACCACCATGGGCAAGATCAAAGAGCTGTCAAAGGATGTCAGAGACAAGATTGTAGATCTGCACAAGGCTGGAATGGGCAACAAGACCATCAGCAAGAAGCTTGGTGAGAAGGAGACAACTGTTGGTGCGATTATTCGGAAATGGAAGAAATACAAAATAACCATCAATCGGCATCGGTCTTGAGCTCCGTGCAAGATCTCGCCTCATGGCCATCCCTATAGTCAAGCACGGATGTGGAAACATTATGCTTTGGGATTGTTTTTCTGCTAAGGGTACAGGACGACTTCACCGCATTGAGCGACAAATGGACATGGCCATGTACTGTAAAATCTTGGATGAGAACCTCCTTCCCTCAGCCAGAACACTGAAGATGGGTCATGGATGGGGCCAACAAGGGTTTCTGCACCAAGTACGAAGTCATGTTTTGCTTGGGGATCAAATACTTATTTCACTCACTGAAATGCAAATCAATTTCTAACCTTTATATAATGTTTTTTTTTTCTGGATTTTTTGGTTGATATTCTGTCTCTATACGTTAAAATAAACCTACCATAAAAATTACAGACCCTTCATTTTTTTGTAAGTGGGCAAACTTACAAAATCAGCAGGGCATCAAATAAATATTTTCCCTATTGTAGATAGACAGACAGATGATAAATAGACAGATAGATGGGTGGATGGATGGATGGATGGATGGATGGATGGATGGATAGATAGATAGATAGATAGATAGATAGACTAATTCTATAATGATTTTAGTATGTTCTTGGGAAGATGAGTGTATTACAACATCTGTGGTAAATATTTGGGTGTTGAGACATATCTTTCTTTATTGTGCATGTTTTGAAGTTGCAACTTCCCTCAGGACAGAGGGGGAGGTAGAGAAAAGAGAGCAAGAATGGGGAAGTGAACACAGTACCAGAAACATCCAAAGGCCTCCAAGCCCTGTCAGATCTAGCAGACAGAATGCATCACTTTTGTGGGGCTTACCACAGCTATGTTGTGTGACTTTCAAATGTTATAAGCACTTCAACTGTGAGAATATTGCTTCATGTATGATACTATGGTTAAAAGTAGTTGATGAGTAAAGAATCTTCACTGCATTTGTAGCTTGTTCATTTTGAACTCACCCTGGGTTCTGCACTTCCTACACTGTTCGTTTCTTTGTTATTAAACACACCCATCTGTTTCTGGCTGTCACATTAAAGGTGATAGTTATGAGTTCTCAGTAATTGTGGAAAATCTGTCGGATAGAAATATATTAGTATAATCCCCACCTAATTTAATTCAAATTTAATTTAATTGCCAGTGCACACATTTATAACAAACAACTTATATCTACAAAAAACAATTGCAAAGCAAGTGTACAGAGAGAGAGAGAGAGAGTGTGTGTGTGTGTGTGTGTGTGTGTGTGTGTGCGTGTGCGTGTGCGTGTGTGTGTGTGTGTGTGTGTGTGTGTGTAAAGGCCCATGTAAAAGCTTACATTACCTAAGCAATTATTAGTTTAGCACCCATTAGTGGTAACTGGGTGCCCATATTCCCTTGGCCCGCTAATGTATGTTCTCATATTAACACTCCCGTTGTAGACCTGCATTAGTGCCATTAGAGTTGAACAACATTGAATAAAATGTATTGCAAATTTTGACAAGGACCATAAAGTATAAGAGGTTACAGTATGCGATGGGATTTTGTGCCCTGTATACGACTCCTTGCAGACTGCATGTGATGAGTTTTTAGCTCCTCTCTGTTTTTATCTCGTCCTCTTTCTCATGCATCAGATTGAGATCTGTGGTGAGTTAATGTGTTAAAAGGCTGTGCTTTGGGCCAAATGGGGCGAGTGAGTGCTTTAATAGCACCACATAACACTCATTAATTTAAAGAGTGCTCGCAGCCTAGAGCTAGGTGTCTGATCCAATAGGTTTCAACTGAATGGACACTAGGTTTTACCGCTAAAGATCCACTTAGGGGTCACTCGAAAACTTTGTTAGAGTCTTTCTGCGATGTCTGTGCAAACTATAAGAGGAAAAAGTTTTGTTTGTGTACTTCTCAGCAGTTTTGCACCTCACTGTTTCTAAATTGTTTGCCACGCACAGCTGCGCTGAAAGAATGCATAAACAACAGATCAAGAAATCCCCCAGATTTTATACGTCTTCAATCCATGCAGTATTGCAAGTGATGTGTTGATTTGAGAATGTAAGTAGGGTAATCTTTTGTTCAGGTATGATATTAAATATTAAATTGCATCAGACAAACAAGTCAGACATAATAGCTCTGCTGACTATACAACTTTGACTTTGTTGGTGTGTGTCTGCACACTGAATGAAGCTCAGGTGCTGTCGAGATGATGTGATTTAAAAGCCTACCAGCCATTTAGTGAAGAAGCTAAACATAGCTCTGGAAGTCTGACACACACGTTCTGCTCTTACTGAAAAGAAAGAGATAACAATAAATAAAAACATGACCTTATAAACCATGTAAGAGGTCTGGGATGTAGCTGAAAAGAAAAGAAGAAGCTCTCTGGACAGCACAAAAACACTGGCTCAACTGTGTGTGTGTGTGTGTGTGTGTGTGTGTGTCTATCTTTCTGTCTGTCTGTCTGTATCTATCTATCTATCTATCTATCTATCTATCTATCTATCTATCTATCTATCTATCTATCTATCTATCTATCTATCTATCTATCTATCTATCTATCTATCTATCTATCTATCTATCTATCTATCTATCTATCTATCTATCTATCTATCTGTCTGTCTGTATGTGTGTCTTTATCTGACAATCAATGATTCTTGAGACATTTGTTTTTAAAATAGAATTGGATTTCATTAGATTTTCTCTGTTTTTCTTCAGAATTATGACATTACATGATCACTCGCTAACCTTAAAATACTAACTTAACACTGAAAATTCTTAAAGGGGTCATATGATGTTGCTAAAAAGAACATTGTTTTGTGTATTTGGTGTAATGAAATGTGTTTATGCAGTTTAAGGTTAAAAAAAACATTATTTTCCACATACTGTACATTATTGTTTCTCCTCTATGCCCCGCCTTTCTGAAACGCGTCGATTTTTACAAAGCTCATCGGTCTGAAAAGCGAGGTGTGCTCTGATTGGCCAGCTATCCAGTCCATTGTGATTGGCCGAATACCTCAAGCGTGTGACAGAAATGTTACGCCCCTACCAT